ATCTTCAGCCGGACACATCCTGGCTGGTACTCATAAATCTCCTAGGTGAGAATGTCCTGCTTTGCAGCTCCCAAGCCTAGCCTTTTGATTTGCAAATTGCTGTAGATGCAGACGTAATATTAAAGCAATTCTTATAACAATGTGTTTTTGTTGGTGTTTGTGCCTTCAAGTAATTTCTGACTTATGGCAATCCAAAAGCCATATCACAGGCTATTATTGGTAGAATTTGTTCAGTGGGGGTTTGCTCTTTTCTTCATCTGAGTTTGAGAGTGTAACTTTCCAAAGCTCACCCAGTGGGTTTCCATGGCTGAGCAGGGACTTGAATCATGTTGGTTCTCCATTATGTGTTTATCCCAAGTAAATTCAGAACATAAAGGTACTGCCTCCTGCACAAGATTTTAAGTCTTTCCCTTTCAGTCAAAATCAGTCCCAATGAAAAAAAAACATAATCTGAAGGATAATCTATCTAGCAGTAGCATAGTGAAAAGAGACAGAAGGCACATCTTTCCTCTTTCCTATCCAAGTCCATCACAAAAAACAAAACCCACAACTGAAAACAGATGAAAACCACAGGTCCCACACCAGAAATGAAAAGTTTGTTTCTCACTGCAGAGAAGGCTAAGACATTGCAAAAGTCTGCGAAAGTCTGCGGCACTGCATATGACCAGAGGGATCAGCTGTTCAAACTACAATCAATTTGTTATAACCATCCTATTTTAAGATAATACTAAACACTCACTTAGCCAGAATGTGTTCAGAACGAAGTGTGGTGTTCTTAATGGTAGAAGCCAACTAAGACTTTCTGTTTGTGTGAAAAATACATTGACAGATAAGGTGAAAAGACTGATCAGAGATGCTATGTCTGGAAGAGTGTTCCTGGATCCCTCATTGCTCCTGGATGTGGCCATGCATGTCTTTGCTCGCTTTCAGCTATGAGCCAGCTACACTCCTTCCTGGAAGAGTCAGATCCAGCCACAGTGATGCACCCTATATAGCAGGGGAAGGCAACTTTTTTGAGCTGGGGGCCGGGTTGCTGTCCCTCAGACAATGGGGGGGCCGAAGCACCATAAATAAATAAATAAATAAATAAATAAATAAATGCACACTCTCTCAGCCCCAGAAAAGCCATGGCAAAACCCCTGTGGAGATTTTGCCAAGAAAACCCCAAGAACAAGTAATAACAACAATAATCAATATCATCATGGTGGGCGGTGGGGGGTGGCAGGACCGGCCTGGGGCCGGTCTAAAGGCCTCGGGGGGGCCCGCATTTGGCCCCTGGGCCTTAGGTTACCTACCCCTGCTATATAGGGATGTCCTTAAAAAAGTATTTGAAAACTGCAGTTGTGCAGGATGTGACTTTTTAGGTTATATTACACTAGTCTTCCATCAATTAAAATGGCTTCTCATTCCATTACAGGGCCAGTTCGAGGAGATGGCATTTCCCTTTAAAGCAACAGTTTAGGAATATAATATTTAACTGAGTAACTTCCCAATGAACCTACTCATGGACTGAGATCAGCTTAAAGGCTCTGCTCTGTGCTCTACTACTTAACGGATGCTTGGAAGGTGAGATGAGGGTATTGGAGCTTGGTAGAGTTATCTGTGGACTACAGCTACCAGAATCCCCTAGCTAGCATTGCCTGTGGTGATAGATGCTGAGGATTCTTGGAGATGTAGTCCCAAAAGTAACTATTCAAAGTCAACTATTTAATCTATTCAAAGACATGGCCTTTTTTGGTATGCATTCCAATTATGAAATGCCTCCCTAGAGGAGGTGACTCCAACCTCACCTTGGATGGCATTTAGATGGGCAGTGAAAACTCTCATATTCCAAATGGCTTTTAATTTCCCCCCCAAAAAATACATGATTGAAGGATTTAGCTCTGCTTTATTACTTCAAGGCAAAAGCTTTAATTTTGTGATTTGATAATGTTTTCTTATTTTATTAAGAGAAGTTTTGGGGAAACTTGTAAGTATTAAAAAGTAACAGTTTTGTAGAGAAATAAATAAGCAAACATCCAGTTTTCAGAAGAAATTAAAGACACATGGTGAACTGTGATGTTTATTTGTTGTATTTCCATTTTACTAATGCCTTGCAGCTTTTTAGGCCATGGCTGCATAGTGGTTCTCTTCCTCCCACCCACCCACACCACCACAGCATGGCCACTGCTGTCTTCTAAACTATGACAGCACTAAGAATCTGTAAGATACTACATGTGCCCATTTTCGAATGTGACAAAATCTTTAGTTCTTTCTAAAAGATAAATTTTCTCAGCAACAAAGTTCCTGCCCAAATGTGTACACACACATCCGGGAATATAAGTATGGGGTGAGGGAAGAAACCATATCATCTTCCACCGCACCCCAGGATCTCAGATGTTTTTGCGTTATTACATTTTTTTATGACTTATATGATCATTTGCTTTATACAGATATAATGTAATATAACATTTGGTATAAGTATTGTGGTATTTCCTTTTTAAAATAAAACTTTAACCAGAATTCTATGGGTATTTTTTTCTGCCAGCAGCTGCACTTTTTCCAGGGCATGCAGTGGTGGCAAAGAAGGAAGTCAAAATCTCCCAGCTCTGAGAAGCCTATTTCCCAAACACTATGTCATTTTGCATCCACTGTACCTGTGGCCTTTTTCTTCCTGCTGCCACCCTCTATGCTAGGGTAGTTACACCAGTGTAAAGCATTAACAGCATTCTGGTCTTAGAAAAGTAACTCACAAGCAGTGACCTTCCAACTCATTCTGAGAGACAATCCAATGTCCACAGCAAAATGCACAAGGTACCTCCACAGAGGAAAAGCCTTTTTGGCTGCTGCTACTCTCCAACACATTCAGGGTCAGTGGCGTCACTGATGTCACCTGGTGCGGTAACTCATGGTGTCGCCTCTCCCATTGACCTCTTCCCATACCAAACTAAACATGCTCCTTAGTGATGTTTTTTTGTACTAATGTTATTCCTAAATCATATTTGCCATATATCACTGAATGTAATGGTAATACTTCTGACATAAACAACTTGCAAAATTAAAATTATACTTTTAAATTACAATATCATACACACAGCCTAAATATATTTATGGATATATCGTTTCTTGTGGATAAAGTGAAAATTTCATAAAATGTGATGTTTTTAAAGAAAATTTAAAAAAATAACATTTTATTTTTAAAAATTATTTTTTTGAAAACTGGGGCCTCTACTTTCTCCTCCCACTGAGCCTCACCCCGCTCACACTATCTCTTCAGTGTTTTAAAGTGACATACATAAATGCCACAGCCCATTTCTGCAAAAAAGCAGATGCTTGAAGAGCAGTGGTGTCAACCCCCCTTAGGGTGTCACCTGGTGTGGTCCGCACCCCCAGTATCCGCCAGTGATGATACTGCACCAGATGACACCAGGGGTGGGGATGTCACTGACTACAGTATGTGCCTCAATATGTGTTTCACAGATCCAATAAGAGAAGTTCAAATGTGTTTAGCACTGCTTCTTCACTTCCATCCCTCTTTGGCCCTGGGCACTTCTGAATTGTCACTGACTGCTTTCTGCTAAATCTTCTAAATGCCCACATCAGGTCCTTTCATTCCTGTCTCTCATGACATCACTCTTAGATCCTGGACAGGGTTAGCTGATACTGTATTTGCTGTCTTCCCACCTTTGGGAGTGGGGGGATTGCTT